CGGCCGACGGAGTCGCTGGTATGACTAATCAAAACTCCTACGGCCTCTTAGCAGGGAGCGGTAACAAGGCTCCTTTGTGAATCTAATTATATCCCCTAAGCTGGCACAGCGGCATGGATTAGTGCAGGAGGAGGACAGTCGGTTGTGGAGGGCTGCGGGGTCCCATGCTGTGCTCCACCAGCATCGCCTGCTTTTGCCGGGGACAGATCCCAGGCTGGTGCCACCCACACCCCACGTGTGCTGCCCCGGCCCACAGCTGGGACCCCGTCGCTGCTCTCTTGGCCCGATCCTGCTCCCTGACGTGGATGCTTTCCTGCCAGCCAGGAGCCATGCCTGGTCCCTGAGGAAGGGGTCTGGGAAGAAGGTGCTGCCCGGCGCGGTGCCTGGGTAGGTACCTAGGGCTGCGCTGGAGCAGGGAGGCAGGAGCCAGGCTGGTCAGGAGGCAGGGCACCGGCACCTGATCGCTCCAGCAGCTCCTCACTCTTCCAGCCCATCGCTGGGATAAGCAGGTGCTCGGGGTGCCTTTCTCTTGGCTTTTGTGTATCTTACTAACTCGCCCGTGGATGTGGGGGGTGAAAGCCGCGCAGGGTTGTTTCAAATGCGTCTGGTTAAAGTTTCATAATAGGTCCTCCCAGAGGAGGGCCACGAAGCTGACCGGAGGGCTGGAGCCCCTCTCCTGTGAGGACAGGCTGAGAGCGTTGGGATTGTTAAGCCTGGAGAAGAGAAGGCTCCAGGGAGATCTAATTGCGGCCTGCCAGTACCTGAAGGGGCCTACAGGAAAGCTGGAGAGGAACTGTTTATCAGGGAGTGTAGTGACAGGACAAGGGGTAATGGGGTTAAGCTGAAGGAGGGTCGATTTAGATTGGATGTTAGCAATTCTTCACTGTGAGGGTGGTGAGTCACTGGAACAGGTTGCCCAGAGAGGTTGTGGATGCCCCCTCCCTGGAAATCAAATCCAGGTTGGATGGGTTTGTGGGCAACGTGGTCGAGTGGAGGGTGTCCCTGCCTGCAGCAGGGGGGTTGGACCTAGATGATCGGTGAGGTCCCTTCCAACCCAAACCATTCTATGATTATTGAAGTGGAGTGGGCAGATGTGGAAGAACAGAGATGACTTTGAGAAGAGTATTTTGTGGTTTGCTTGCCAGCGTGCCTCTCGTTTCTCACACAGACCTCGCTTCAGTGTGCTTTGTGTTGCTGAGCAAAAGCACTTATCTCCCAGCAATGCTGTGCACTGGGGTGATTTGCAGTTGCTACTTTCTAAGAGGTCTGCAACTAATTTTCTTGGGCCGGTCTCTTCATCCCAGTATGTATTGGCAGGACAAATGGAGTAGCAGCAGAGTCAGTCTGTTAGTGAAACTTGAAGTGTCAAGGCCTGAGAGTTTTTCAGTCTTGAGTTTTTATTGGTATGAAAAGAAAATTCAATGGAAAAAGTTTCCCAGGCTGTGAGCAGTTTGCCGACACGCGCAGAGGTTACACAAGGGTGCAAGGGAATTTTTACGGAACGGTGCAAGAGGAAGTGAGTATGCTGATAAGCGTATGAGACCACCGTTGTTTCTTCCTCCCTGTAAATCTAAAGAAGGGATTGTGGGATTTCTCCTTGGGAAGGAGAGGAATATGAAGTAGTGAACAAAACTGAGGGGGGGGGGGAAAGAATCTTTAAAATATACTTGTCTTACGCAGTTTTGGGAAGGGGGGGAGGGTGTTAAATGATAAATTTGGCAAAGTAGGATTTCTTTCTCACTGCCAGGCAGTCGCTGCTTCCTGCTTTTCAAGAACATATGCTGTGAAGGTGGGGTGCCACAGCAGCGTGGGCTCAAGATGTGTTTCTGTCTCTATCTACTTAGTGGTGACCAGACAGAGCAGCCAGCTCCATTAGAGAAATCCTTAACCTAGTGAGGCTAATGCAGCTTCCCTCCAGTGCGAGCTGCCCCATTGTATTTGTGGGACAGGACCCCAGAAGTGACAATCAACTTCTGCAGGTTACTGTTGGTTTATAGTAAAGCATAACAACACATAGCAGACCATTGGTACATAAAACACATCACACGTTTCTGCTGACCTTACTGAACTTCGAGTAAAGCTATAAGATATCAAACTTTCATTAATCACTTGGAGCTCGTATGTAGTATTCACTGTGTCTCTTTCAATGATCTTTATATATGAAAGGTATCTTTTCTATTCTTTGAGGCTGTTTAAACTTTCCTGAGGAGCTATACACCACCCTAACATCAGTGTTACAACCCAATTTTTTTTTCCAGCTGAGGAAGACTAAATCTAGTACATATCATGCAAACAGCTGAGTATTCACTGTTGGGCAGAGTCACATTCACTGCTCTGGGTTTAAAAATAGTGATGTAGGCACAACTTGCAGTGAACATAGTATTGTTAGTTGGGAGATTGTCTGTAGATACCTTGCATCAGGATCCATACCTTGGTTTGTGCAGGAAGAGTGCATGGATGGATGAATTCAGTTATTAAACTACTCAGTCACTTCAGAGGGATGCTGATAGCCCCTACAGCTTTTTAACACATAAGCTTTAGTAGCAGGAGTAACTATTTATGAATATTAGCTAGAGCTTTTTCCACCCCTGTATTTCATCATCCATTGTAACTGATCTGGCCTTGGAAAATCAATGAGGTAGTTTCTGATTTGATTTCTTTGTATCCAAGCTCATGTTTCAACTTGCGGTTTTTCAGTTTTATTTTTGCCAGATTGACTCTCTTGTAAAACTTATTCTTGGTGATAATTAGGGTGACTAAAGATTGAGATCTGAAGGGGTGGTGTGAGGTGGGCTGGCAGAAGAATAATCTGTTGAAGATTTACGTTGCTGCTGTGAAGTGATTCTGTTTTCAATCTTGCTTGGAAAACAGCTTTTATTTTGCTGTGAAGTGACTGAACCCAGCTTTCAAGTCTAATGTTGTTAAATTGGGTGCATATCTTGGCACATTCAGTTTCTGCAAAGTAAGTCTAAAAGCCCACAAGAACATTAGCCACTAAACAAAATCAGCTCTGCTCTGGGAATCCCAGAAGTCAGAGTTGTCTGGTCACTTTAAACTTCCAGTTCTAAGTGGTTTTAAGGCTGCCATACATCTGCTCAAAATAAGGCCTGTATGTGTTCCCAGGGTACCCAAATCAAGGGAAGCAGCATTGTTGCAGTTAATAGGTTAAGCAGGGAGTTATTTTTTTCATCAGCAGAAATTTACTGAAGACTTGAGTGTGTTTACACAAATTTACGCAGTGGCTGGACTGGAGTGGGTTCTTCGCCTGGACCAGTGGCTCTGGGAGCAGCTGCCTGAGGGGCTGAGCCACAGGGGTGGCTGGGGGATGGCTGCTTGCCCGTGCCCACCACTGTTTCTCTGGGGCAGGGGGCGAGGTGGCTGGCGTGGGTGACTCTTTGGCAGAGGTATCGCCGGTTTGATATCCTTGCGTTCATTGCGTTTCCTTTTTGTGAACTGTCAGTCATAGTTCATGTCTGCATTTTTGGAAGGGCCTCATGGTTTATGAGAGGAATGAAGAAGTTAAGCCTTCTGTTTTCAGGATTCAGACGTACCCCCCTGTTTCTGTGCATGTGATGGAGGGAGGAAGGTTTGGGCAGGGGTGGAGATGGGGACAAGTCTGTATATCCTGTAGGTACAGTACTGTGTGCAGAGAGCAAAGGGACCCGCCTTCTCCAGGCACAGCTGCTTAGTCCCTTTGCAATAATGAGTATTGCTGTCTCTGGATGACCCAGATACTCACCCATAAGAGAGACGATGCAGGGGAAAAAAGGTCATTCTTATCTGTTCTTGCTTCTGTGGCCATCAGCTGGATCTTAGTCTTGCTTAACCGCTGCGCCCTTATCAGCACTGTCTTGCAGCAAGGAGGATTGAAGTCAGGGTCCAGCTCTGTTTCTGACAGAATAAAATGTCAGGAGATGAAGCAGGACGTAGAGCCAGCCTCAGCAGAGGAGCCAGCTTCTTCCACTTGGCTGACTGCAGCCCCCATCTCCTCTGTAGGGAAGGGGGGCGGTGGCCTCGCCTTTCTCAGGGCAAGGCACAGATCTGCAGCCCCGCAGGCTGGCAGGAGCTCTCCTTGGCAGCGATGACAGCAGTGACAATGTTATATCTGCCGTGCAGATCCCCTCTACTTCAATGAAGAGTCTCTACACAAATTGTTGGGGAGATTCGGCCCGAATTAATACAGACTGGGGTGGGTTGACCTTGGCTGGAGCCCAGGTGCCCACCAAGCTGCTCTATCACCCCCCCTCCTCAGCAGGACGGGGGGGTGGAGGGTGAGAAAATAAGATGGAAAAACCCTTGTGGGTCAATATAAAGGCAGTTTAATAAAGCAAAAGGATGCACATGGAAGCAAAGAATAAACAAAAGATTTATTCTCTGCTTCCCATCAGCAGGAGATGTCCAGCCAGTTCCCGGGAAGCAGGGCTTCAGTACGCGTAGCAGTTGCTCCGGAAGACAAACATCGTAAATAATAAATGCCCCCCTCCCGCTTCCTCCTGCTTTCCCTTAGCTCTTATTGCTGAGCAGACGTCATATGGTATGGAATGTCCCTTCGGTCAGTTTGGGCCAGCCGTCCTGGCTGTGTCCCCTCCCAAGGTCTCGCCCACCCCCAGCCCACTGGTGAGGGGGATGTTGGAGAGAAGCCTTGGTGTGTGCCAGCGCTGCTCAGCAGTAGCCAAACCCTGGTGTGTCACCAACACCTTGCTGGCTGCCGATACACAGCACAGCGCTGTGAGGGCTGCTGTGGGGACAACTGACTCCATCTCAGACAGACCCAATACACAGGAATAGGAGGAGAGGAGCTCATGCTCCAAGAAGCTGCAGGAAAATATCTGCCCTTTGCCAATGGAGAAATTATAGATGGATGCATGTTTCAAATTGTACTGCTTCTTGTTATATTGCTGTTACAGCTGCAGTCATCAGTTGGAAATTAAGAAGGGGATATAACTTGGAACTGAACAATTAGCTTCTCCACCTGAAACTTGAGCTGCCCCTGGGAGGTAAAGAGGGAGAGGTTGCCTCAGAAGATGATTGTGCAACTATAACCACCTTATGCCTCAGGCCTTCAACACGTTAAGGCAGCTGATATTTCATGTCCAAATTATAAGCTCAGTAATGTGCCAAAACTCTAATGTCTGTTTTAATATGAAAATAGTTATTATGACAATAAAAATACTTTTCAAACAGTGCCATATATCATGGAATGATTTACAATTGCATAGCTATCTCCAAATGTCACATTCAGTGGAAGCACTGTAAATTTTTACGTAAACTTCTATGTGTAGTCCAGAAGGAGCTCCTCTAGAAGAGGATTTTCTTCCCCCCCCCCCCCTTCATTTTTGTATGCTGTAATTTTTCCTTTCAAATCTCTGTTGTCCTTCTGAGACCAAGATGCCTTGAGGGAAAGTTTCTGCATAAAAAGCTTATTAAGTTCTTTATTAATGTGGAAAATATTGTAATTTTTTCTACAGTATTGCACTCATCTTTTGTCTCAGTTATGGCTAAGCTGGAATAAATGAATCCTGGATGCTGTGTGACATTACCAGTACTTATTTAGAAGATTACTTGAGAACCCAAGTGTTGTGAGAATAGGCTGAGAAACACTATTTGAATACTTAACAAATGCAAGCTTTTAAATAGATGAGCAAAAGACTTCATGTAGGCCTGTTGAGTTGGTTCTAATTCTTACTCCAATGTTTTTTCTGGCTAAAAAGGACTATATTGTTGGTAATGGAGACCTGCGGTATCATTCTCAATATTTCATTAAATACTGTTCCTGCAGTGCATCTGCTTTAGTCGTTCCTTTCTGTGAACAATTTTCCCACATAATGTATCATCGAGATTGCACTGTCCTCTGCATTTCTATGCCACCACTACCAGCATGGTTTCAACAGAGGTTTAGAAAAGGCTTTTGGGTAGGCAAGCCTAAAGTGGACCACAAGTTTGTCATTCTGTACGAACTCTCTTATTGGTCCTGTTAGCTGGTATTATTTTCAATATTCCTTCTTTTAGGTTTTGCTGAGCCCCAGTCATTTCTGCTGCTGTATGTGGTGGTGGGGAAATGTGATATGGCACTTGAAAAGGTTTCAAAATAGCTGTGGGAAAACCAGAATTTGACTGTTGCTCTGACATAGAAGTAGTTGGAGGGTTGAGTTAGAATACTGATGCAGAAGTTCAAGAAGCAGGACACTGAGTTGTCCCTGGTACAGCACTGTTGGTCTCCTAACGTTAGGACGCCTAGATCTCCTTTTCAGTGTGGTGGTGATCTTGATAGTACAGCTTCAGACTCGACAAAAGAGCATAGTAATCATTCCCCGAAGAAAACAGAAGCTGTTTGTGGCCACTTCGCACCCTATTAGGAATAAAATGGTTGGTAGTGCTGCATCCTGTTATTTGTTAACATAGCTTCTGCGTTTTAGAAGTTGGGTAAATAATTCCCACCTTAAGGAAGGACAAGGGCTGGGATTAATTTTTATGCATGGAAAGTTATAGTATGGTCTTGTGAATCCAGAGGTGTTGAGAGTAAGATTTTTATAGAGCTCAAAACACTGCTTTTGAGGTCTACAGGCTGGTGTAAGCTCGATTACCAGTGTAGGGTATGTCAGGAGTAAATCAGAGTTTAGTGGACTGGAGCAGAGGGAGCTGAGACACTCAGAATTTTTTTTTTTTTTGAGTATTTTGTGTGGTGATCTTGTGTATGTACTTCTGAAAGGCAGATCCTTGTCTTGCTGTGTTTTCTTCATGCTGAAGTCAGTCAATACACAGTCATCCACACATGATGTAGGGTTATATATATATATTTTTTTTTTAGGCATTTTGTGTTGATTATTCTTAGCTTGTACGTAATAGGGCGGGAAGGTTGCATATGTTGAAATTTCGTAGTTTTTGGAAGGTTCAGCTCTGATGCCTAATTTGAATTCAGGCCTGCACGTTGTCCCTAAACTAAATAGATTTTGAAGGCAGTTTATCTAAACCATTAAATAATTCTTACCAGCCAGTCATAGAGCTCTTAAATCTAGTATAATTAACTAGCCTGATACACTGGATTTAATACATATTCAGTGTTTCCTACATTTTCCTAACTTGATTATTAAGTGACTACAGCACCATCTTGTATCATTGCAACTTGCCTTCTGACACTACAGTAGATCCACAAAAAACCCTGTCTGGCTGTCAGCATAAAGACACAGATGGGAAAAGGCTGTGTAGGAACCGGCCCACAACAGGAGCGAGAGTTTGCCATGTTTTTGGCGAGGAGAAGGTGGGGACGGCCATCCCCAAACCAGTATGAGACTGGGACTGGAGAGAGGAAAGGAGGCAAAGACGGAGGTGGTGATGGTGTTCTGGGGGGAATCACACTGGTGATTCCATCCAGGGAGATGGTTGAGCTGGATGAAGAGCTGCTGGTGCAGAAGGTGAGGATACGAAAACTTGTTGCAAGGGGCTTCTGTAATTGCTAGGGATTAGGAACTGGGGGGACTGCTGTTAGACCAGGCTTGTTCATTGCTTCTTGGTTATTCAATTGTTAACAGCTTTCCTTAATTAAGACACAATTTTCTTCAACTATAATATGTTTTAAATACATTTTAACCAGAAAGGATCATAGTTTCTAGGATAGATAGGATAACAGATAAGTTAGAGGGATTCACAAAGTTGATTAGGAGCCCAACTTTCACTTAGTTGTTTCTGCTCATCAAAATCATTTAAACTTTGAAAAGAGTTGAATATGCTAGGGCAGTTGTAGATTTGTCTTAGGGTGACGAGGCTGCTAATGACTTTTTTACATGAAAATTTTATTATTTATTTTTAATTTCTATATATGGGTTTTGGTGTTGCTTGAGTCTACCCACTGTTCTCTCTTTGAACTGTTCATCTTCTTCAGTTTGTGCGTCTGTGCACGTTACGTGCAGTCTTGGATGTCTGGGGGTTTTCGCCTGTGGCTAATCCAGCTGTCACCGGACAAGGGGATGTAGACAGCGGGGCTCAGCTGTCTGAGGTCAGAGCAGAGTTTTTTCATATACGAGGCTGATTAGTTTTCATCATTGGTTCATCCCATTCTAGCGAAGTATGTCACAGGGGATTTTCCCAAAAGAATAGATACTAATCCGCAAGGAGAGGTTGTTCTGGCAAACAGATGGGGTGCGTGCTGCTGTTAATGGAGAGAAGCAGAGTCTTGAAACAAAAACTCTGGTATGGCTTGAGTGTTGCCAGTAGTAATTTGAATTTGTATATGTCAGCCCTCCTGTGTTTATTTTAGAAAGCAGTGCACAGTTGGCAAACTAACAGTAATGTTGCTGTTGATGATTTCTGGTATTAAGAGCTCCACCTTTAAATTCAATTTCCTAGGCTATTGAGCTGGCACACTAGTATTGAAAATCTCAGATAAGCAGCATTTGATCAATTATGATGGGAAAGGATTTCCATTTAATCTTCAGCAGATACCTAATATGACAACGTTCAACAAATTTTCATCCCAAATAAAGTTCCAGTCAGGCATTTTTTTTAATTCGGGGAGTAAGTATGAAAGAGAGGAGATGGTGTGTATTGCTTTTATAAAGCTCACTGTAGATCTGCAGATGTAAAAGGCATTGCCTTAAAATACATACCATGATGATATTTACCAGTAGTTTTTCAGGTTTATTGCTCACCATGAGCAGGCATTTTACACATTTTAAGTTTAATCTCTATAAAAGTGAGGGTGTGATGGCTCCACACAGTTACCTTAAAATTTCAAGTCCTGATGTCTCTGCCTCAGCTAGGAAGGCCCCCTGTCTGTGGGCTTTTGAGAGGGGTTTATGCAGTCCTGTGTGGCTCACCCAAACAAAGCCTGTAGTTACTGTCCTTCTTTGAAAGGACATTTAAGGCTGTCCTGGATAGATGGTGTGAACATTGGCATAGAGTGTACTTTAGAAAAAGCATTTACATTGCTGCTCTTTAGGCTCAGGACAGCAGGAAGTTGGGGCATCCAAGGCTGAATCTGATTGAAAG